TTTGACACTGTCCTTAAGATGAATTTGTCCCGCATCGATGCTAATGATTTCTAGCAATCATCTCTCAAAATACAACGACCACGTCAAGCCATATGAGCACTTCAAATGGCTTAGACCAACGAAGTCGAACGGAATTATCTCTTTACCATAACCATGATTTTGATGAAAGTGTTTTATGCAAACTAAAGTGTAAGCATGGACTGGAATGATATAGAACTATCACTTTAAATTGTACTCAATTCAAACACACGAGGATCTATATATAGTAGTTGGAAATGTCTGTCAAAAGACACAACCATACCAAGAAACATCTCTTGAAATTAAGATTTATAATTATTGGAGAATAATCATACCAAAAGTCATGATCTCCAAAGATCATGATTTTCCATATGAAATGATACATCTTTTCATCTACACAATTTCTAGAATATTCCACAACATTCTACACGATTTTGCAACAATTTCAAGTGTTTAAGCGGCTTAAATTTAAATTAATTTCTCATTCATTAAATAACGAATTCCGCTTAAATCATTTAAATTTGTCACAATCAATTTTCGATACAAAATTTCAACACATAGTTCTCTAATACTCACAACCCCATCATACAGAGACAACTGACCAATTTAATAATGCGACAAAAAGTATCCCCCCTCGTAAACATGTCTTCTAGTCATGTTCTAAAAATCCTGTTTAAATCTAGAACCGTTCTTTGGTCAAGTCCCAAAAGAATTGAAGTTGGAAATGACATTCATGTCCCCATCCAGCAATGCCCTATAGAACCATATTTGTCTACTTCCAGGCACAAGATATCACAATTCACAATCAAGTTTTCCATTTACTATTTTTTAGGAAATACACTGCGAAATCAATAACTATGGCCAGCTTCATAGGCTAGGTCCGTAACTCGTTGCGTCATTACAAGTTTGCATTTTGTGATTGTCGATATAAAAGAAAGGAAAAGAAGCACTAGAAAGATATATGGAAAATCTTCAAAGCTAAATACCATCTCGATTTTTCAAAAGTGAACTTTGAACTACAAAACTTCTCCGGTTTTGGATGATTAGTTTGCTCTTCCCACTTGGCTAAAAATAATCTGCTGTCCAATGCCTCTGATGACGATAACCAGCAGACAAGCACTTGGAGCAAGACTCGAATGGATTCCACGATAAATTTAAATTTTGTCAACCAATCTGAGCCCCTGTTTCTCATCCAGGCCAAACAGCATAACTTTCATCAAACAACACGGGGTTCCTTTACGGTTCATTCACGACATTAGTAAAACATACCCTTTTGGTTGTCCTCACTAACGTGAATGTATTTGCCAACATTTAGGTGGAAATTTGATTTAGAAGTGATCATTCTGCTTGTGGCAATAAAAAGGTAAAGCCCGAGTTCTCACGAATAAGTGGTGGTGGTTCAATGTCAGAAATATGAAATCGATCCATTGATTTGGAAAGGTTGTCTACTGAGAATGGTATGCTGCATTATGCAATGGAGACAGGAGATTAAGTTACTAACAACTGAAGGAAAAAAATAAGATATAAAAATGTATAAAATGCAACAGCATAAATAGGATGTGAATTGTGAAACATTTCATGTTCAACCTTGAGTCATCATCCAGCAGGCAGGAACTGCTGAAGGCATTGTTTGTATCTTCAGTTCAACACCCTCATGTTAGATATAACCTTCGAATGAGAGTCAACAAAGACAAAATTGCTGATTAATATAATCTGCCTCGTCAATCTCCATATACAAGTTTTCTAACACTGCAGATAAAACAAGAAATTTTTGCGGTGAAGAGATTATACATGTGAGTTGGCGGTGAAGAACATAAATATAGATTTATGTATGCGATCCCCATTAAGAAGTGGGTAAACATCCTATAATCTTGCCATTAGAAGAATCATATAAAAAGTACTAAGGAGCAATCACAATATCTGATCATACTGTTCAAGACTATATTTAAATTAATGTGTTTTCCCTCTCTTGTCAGATTAAACTTTTAGAAAAGATGGTTCATCATAGTATCAAAGCAAGTAGATGTCATGAGCTTAAATCTCTCCACACCCGTTTATGAAAATTATGCGCCTATTAGGTTTTTGGTAAAAAAGGAATCTGTCCTGCACAAGAGGGGAATGTTGAAGACTAAATTTAAATAAATAAATGTGTCCCCTCTCTAATTGCATAAGCTTTTAGATGGAGAGGTTTAATACGAGGTGAAGGTTACATGCAAACTTCTTTATATTGTAACTTGTATCAGATACTACGTTCATGCTGATTCTGTAGAGCTGCTGAATACTGAGCACCTGTAGATTATAGAGAATTTGTGAGCAAGAAATATGTGGGTACAGAGAGATGATTATTTAAGAAAAGTATTTGTAACTTCTTACGGGACATAAATTATCACTTATCTCATCCGTAGTCTTCTTTGGTTTCTGATGTATGACCTGTTCAGCAACCAGAAGGTTCAAAATGATTACTAGGCCTTACAACTTTGGACTAATGTATGGTTATATTCTTCACTCTTTATTATTTCTTTCTTCTTGAGAGTTTTATTGATTGATGCTAAGAGGGGGCAGCTCATGCACTTGTCAAAAGCTTGCATGAATTGAGAAGTGAGAAATTTGTGTATTCATTTAAGCCCCAAGGTCATGTTTGCTACGTAATACTTGACTAGACTAAACAATACAGTTCAACTTCTTTTTATTTATTTCTTAGTACTTCCAATGATATCCAGCCCTCCTAACCACACATACAATAAAAAGAAATAACTGCATTTTCCTAAACTAGCCTCGCTCTGTAATAGCAAATAATTAGCCAAATTTCTCGTTATACAATAACTCATTTACTTCATAAATTTGTTGCTTTCATGTACTATTTTTCTCATTGCCCATTTGTTAGTTTCATGATTCAATCTATCTATGATGTGCATAGATACGTTGGGTAAAGGATAAAAATTTATGTAGACAATTTGCTCTGCATGCTATTTGAATAACACGAGCAATACGAATGTTTTTATCTTGTGACTGTAGAAATTGGAACCATACTAGAAATCCAATTGCTTGTCTTATATGCATGAGCTCATCCCAAGAGGAACCTGTGTACTGGAATGCTTCCAATTTAGCAGGTATATTAAAAGCAGTTATTTCATAAAATCACTAAAATAAATAAATACCTCTTCAGTCGCCTTGTAACACCAATGTTCAAGTTAGGCCAATCCAGCCTTGACGTATTCACCATTTCTGAATGAGCAGCATTCTCGTTTTAGTAAAAGGCTGTAACACGGAAAACAACATTAGTTTCTTCGACTGATGGATGAGTGTCAATAGGATATGCACATGAATACTTGCCTGAAATGCATTACCTGTCAAATAACTGCACATTAACAGAAGAAAATATTTGTGTGAACACCTTCCGAACCAAAAATGGAGGTACCTGAACATAGATACACAATAAATTATGTCGACTGCATACCAGAAATTGGACATACATAAAGACAAAATAGATAATGTAGATATTACTCCGAACCAGATCAAGCAATATTTACACCGTGGAGGAAAAGAAACGTCTCAATATAATAACATCACATGTTATGATAAAAATACTTAACGTAGACAAACATACTGGAAAAAAGTTTGCCAGGACAATCATTGAGCTCCAATTATTATGGTGATATTGAGAAGTCACTCTTATTAAGGGACAACTAAAAATTCATCGCAATTCCCACTGATAACAGACTAGTTCGTGAAAAATTATAAAACTGTCCTTTTGACGAATAACTAGAGTTTGGAGGTCAACCAAATGTGTATATTATGCACACAGATTTCATCAAGTTCAACGCCAGAAAGACAGATTACAATTGACAATGTAACTCTGCTGCATGATAATATATTGATTCCATCAATCAAAAT